AAGAAAGAAGTCTGGGCACTCCAGCGTTAAGAAGCCAGGAGATGAGGAATCAGCCAAGGAACCCAGGAGGGAGCAATCAGAGAAGTAAGAGGAAAACCCCAGGAGCCGGTGGGTAGCTGGAAAGGAAGTTTCTCGTGGAGGAGGTAGGAGTGATCTGGATCCAGTGCAACTGATAAGTCAAATAAGATAAAGACTGACGTGTCCATTTTATTCAGCAACTGATGGGTGGTGGACATTAGTGACTTTGATAAGCAGTTTTGTTGGAGTGGTGAGAACAAAAGCTCCACTGGAGTGGGTGCCAAAGATAATGGAAAGGCAGAAACAGGAGATGCCTGACAATTTTGCAGTGAAGTTGAGAAATAGGGAATAGTTGGGAGTTTTGTTGCGGGGGCGGTGGTGGTTTTAGGTAGAAAAAAACTGTTGACGGGAAAGATTAAATAGGAAGAAATGAATGAGTGGGGCAGAGAGGCAGTGTCCTGGAGAAAATCATCTGCTCCACTGTTTACTGAGGGTGTTTCCAAAGCTCCTTGCACTTGCCTTGGACATTTCTCTCTTTCTGACTAGACTTAACTATTTGGGAAACAGTATCCCCACATAAAGCAGTCTAGGCCTTCACCGAATTCTTGAATTCTAGGTAGGCAGGAGGGGATGGGATCTAACACACAAGTGAAGCGGTTGTCCTTTGCTGGGAACTCAGACATCTCATCCCATCCGTACTCAACAGGAGAACAGGCAGAGGACAAGAGGATAGGTCCAGGCTGGAGGGGCGATGCAGCCGGGAAGCTTTCTTGTTGCTTTTATGCCTCCATGAAATAGATGGTTATTGACTGAAACTGAGGATGGCAGGACCAGAGCTCATGTGTTTTGTGTGAATCCTCGTGCCCTGGAGAATCAATGTATGATTAAGTGATTTTTTTTTATCTAGATGGGCCTTTAATTTCATAGTTAACATGTTAATGAAGTAATTAAAGTTCTAGTAGCATTTGGAACAGCTCTTTTAATCCATCACGTACGGTCAGCAACTGTTAGTTGGTTTCAGTCTTAAGCACCTTAATATTTTCTTTCCTTCAAGTGATTTTCCTTTTGTCATTGAAGAATCTACCTTGACACCATGTTTAACTAGAGGAATTTAAGTCATCACTTAAATTGAAAGCTAATACTGCTATACATGCTGGAAACAGAAGAAACTTAGGTCTCTTAAAGAGCTCATCATAGTGTAGTCAGGAAAAGGAATGACCTAGGTAAGTACAGAGAGCTTTGGAGAGTTGATGTGGCAGAAGACTGCTTTTCTTTTTAAGATTTTATTTATGAGAGAGAGAGCAAGCGAGCACAAGGGGGGGAAGTGGAAGCGGAAGAGGAAGAAGCAGGCTCCCCACTGAGCAGGGAGCCTGACTTTGGACTCGATCCCAGGACTCTGGGATCATGGCCTGAGCCAAAGGCAGACGCTTAACCAACTGAGCCACCCAGGCATCCCCTCCCCTTTTTTTTTTTAAAGATTTTATTTATTTTACAGAAGACTTTTCTTAATTGGGTACAGCAAAATGGTTTATCAAAGATGCCTTCTTGCTCATTCCGATGATTCTTAGGAAATTGAGCATTCTTTACCCCGGGTCTGCTTGGTGGATGTGATGGTCAGAGAAAGACGTAACATCAACTCCTATTACCCTGACTTCTACCCTAGTCCTGTGGTAAACACTCCTGGTTCCAGCCTGCATCCCTTTGGATGAAGCCTTCCCTTACCCAGGAAGTAGGGAATTTGAAGAGCAGGTTTCATTGCCAGAGAACGGAAGCGGCAGTGAACTTAGGACCAGGGCTCCCATCTTCCTGCTGCTTTCCTGACTTCCTGCCTCCCAAGGACCCATACATAAGGGGCTTAGCTTAGCTTATTTTCTCTGAAAATCTAAGGCCTGATTCATCATTGGTTCAACCACTTAATTTTGCTTAAAGAGTTAACAAATTGTTACAAGTTAAATTTTTTTTCCTGATCAAGTCTTGGTGGAGCAGTACCTTTGCTGTGATTATTGCACATTTAAACCCAGCTATACTTACGATCTGAAATTAAATAGGGCATGGCTTCTTTCTCAAGTTAGTAATGTCCTTTAGAATATTTCATGTATCCTATACAGGCTAATCGTTGCTGTCTTTTCCCCTTATTTCTGAAGGACTTGTGTTCGTGTTCTGTTCTCCTTTCTAGTTCTAATCTCTGTTTAAAGTAGGCTCCACACCCAGTGTGGAGCCCAAGGTGAGGCTTGAATTCACAACCCTGAGAGCAAGACCTGAGCGGAGATCACGAGTCAGATGCCTAACCGACTGCGCCACCAAGGCGCCCATATTATCTTAATGTATTGTTTAAATTTAGATAGCCACATGTCCCAGTCCTCGTCCTGTTCACACCCTCACAGTTATCCCTTATCGCTAGGCGCCTTTTAAGTTCCCCTCTTGTCCATACAAAGGAGTCGGCTCTCCTTCACACCCCTATCACCGTAATCTTCCCAGGGCAAGCGCTTCATCAGGACACGCCTTGCTCCTAAGACTTTGAGTGGTTGCCCATTGTTTACAGAGTAAAGTGCAAACTCCTAGAAGCCTCGCTTTCTGTCAGGACAGCAGTGTGTTCCTGGGATGAAGCCGCATCCATTTCAGTACCAGCTTCGGATGCACGCGTTTCGTAGTGAAATCCCAGAGCCACTCTTGCCAATGGCAGCGGTGCCATCTATCACTTAAGAATATTTTCTCAGAGAAATAGCAATAGTGACTCATTGAGAACTCTTCCTTAATCCTCTTACTCTTCAAGGCTTTCTGCTCATAGGACTACAACTCTTCGATGCGCTGACATTTTTATAATTTCTTTTACAAACAGCAGTTCAAAGTATTGATGCGTGTAACCTTGTTGCTGGCCATGTTAAGTTTCAAACCTCAGAAAATGGATTGCTTAAGGTACATTGCTAGGCACACCAGTATTTTAAATCTGAATTGATATACTTGGTGCTTCAAGACAGATGGTGCATTGCTTCTGTGCCTGAGAGCATTTGGCAGTGCTGAAATTGAGCCTTCTGTTCAGTCCAGAATAATTCAGTGATGAGTGGGCAACTCTGTACTTTTTTTTTTTTTTTTGCTGGATTTGAATATTTGGAAGTGTTGTAGCTGATATATTAACTGCAAGTGCCTTCCTAAGATGACGTTACAGGTGTAGGTAAGTGCATAATCAGTGGATAAGCACCGTGTTATCGGTTTGGCATTTGGCACCCCTTGTTTTTATTTTCATTGCAGTGATTTGTTTCCAGTAAGGTTAACAAGTATTTGACCACATTTAAACACAGGCATATCAAACTTTGCAGATTTAAAGTTAACTGTTAGCTAGGCTAATGTTAGTTAAGATCAAAAGGGAAGCTTCCCAGATGATACTGATGAGAGTTTAAAGTAGCAGAGGTTTTTAAGTCTTGTGTTGGTCATTGTCCCCAGTTTCATTTTATTCCCCTGGTTAACACCTCTTCCCAGGCACCTTGCAAAGACAGCATTTCCTTATTTAAGGCCTGGCTGGAAGACTGCAGTGAGAAACCTCTCTAAAGCCCTGTATTTTGTTACTTAAAATTAGAAATCGTTTTTTATTCCTTTTGATGTGCAGCTTGTTAGAGCCTTCTTGGTGATTAGCTAGAAATGTACTTTTTCTTCTTCATGTGTTTTCAAAGTAGGATTTATGTAACTCTGTGGTTATCCTTTGGGGAACACTGTGTGTTAAATATAGGATGCCAGAAGCCCACGAGATAACACAGCAGTGGGAATCTCTGAAGAAAAAGAGCAAAAGCACCCCTATCCTGCACTTGGTTGTGGGTTATGATGTTGATGGAGGACTATGATAGTTGATTTAGGAGAAGGTACTGTACTGTGAAGAAAACATCCAGACCATTTAAGCTTTGGGAAAAGGTATACTCTTTTGAGCTTGGGTTAAAAGTCCTGTATTGCCTGCTCTCCTAATGCTGGAAGGATAAAGAGATCAATAAAAAGTTTCTTCAGATTCTGTAAATCAGACTTGTCTCTGTTTTCTCTGCATTTCCGGAGAAGCCAAACCCACAGATTGGTGGCTTCCGGTGGTGGGAATATTAGTATTGGTTCTATATGTTCCTGTAAATTCTTTTTCTAACATTAAATGTATTGTGCACACGTACTCTGAACTGACCGCTCCTCGAGATTTGTGTCAGTTACATACCCATGGACTGATCTCTTAGTAAGTTGCCTCTTCTTTAGCAGCTACGACTTTACGCTTGTCTACAAGACTCCGTTCCTGTCTGTGACATAGTGGCATATGCATATTTTGGCAGCATGAAGCCAGAAGCGTGACTTAGGAGGACAACACCCCCCGCCATTTCCCGCCCTCCCCCCCCTCGACTGATGACTTCTCAGAAAATACTGGACTCTGCTTATTCAACACTGTAGGGTTAGTAACAGCTCCAAAGTTGGGGTCCTGCCCAGGAATCTTTAAAATCATTTCCAAAATAAAGCTGTATCATCAAATGAAATCTGTATTATACTATATGAGAACGAATTACCAAGGGTCGGAGCCTGACATACTTGACACTTTCTCTTGAGAAATGAATATGGAGGGGCGCCTGTGTGGCTCAGTTGTTAAGCGTCTGCCTTCGGCTCAGGTCATGATCCCGGGGATCCTGGAATCAAGCCCCGCATCGGGCTCCCTGCTTTGCGGGAAGCCTGCTTCTCCCTCTTCCCGCTCCCCCTGCTTGTGTTCCCTCTCTCGCTGTGTCTCTCTCTGTCAAATAAATAAAATCTTAAAATATATATATATATATATATTTGGGGGTTCCTTGGTTGGTTCAGTGGTTAAGCATCTGCCTTCGGCTCAGGTCACGATCCCAGGGTCCTGGGATCAAGCCCCGCCTTGGGCTCCCTGCTCCGCCGGAAGCCTGCTTCTCCCTCTCCCACTCCCCCTGCTTGTGTTCCCTCTCTCGCTGTGTCTCTCTGTCAAATACATAAATAAAATCTTTAAAAAAAAAAAAATATGGAGATCACAACTTTCAAATTTTAGTTGTATCATCACTTAGAGTAATTAGAAGTCATTGATTTATCACAATAGTTTGCATGTGAGTAAAACACCCAATAACAATAATATCAGTTCTGACTTGTGGGTCTTTAGGATACTGAACTCTAGAGCCATAAGTTTAATTAACCACCAGCCTGTTGCTTTCAAATTTCTTTCTTACTGTACTGTCTTGTTCTGTAAGGAGAATTTTTTTTTTTTTTAAACTTCTCTGGGCCTGAATTTTCTCAATTATTGAACAAAAGATAATGAACAACACTGCAGAAATATTTAGTGATGGGAAAAAATTGGTAAAATACTGGGCATTATAAAGAATCTGGAAAGATTTTTTTTAAGCAGTAAAACAAGACAATTGCAAATTGTATGGGTAATTATATGTTTGAGTACAGCATGAAGCTTCACTATTAGAATATTGTTTTTGCTTGTGCTAATAGGTTGTATTGCATCTTTTTTGTTGTTTTTTGTTTGTTTGTTTTTGTCTCTGGGCTCTGAAGATTGAAGTGTACTATTAATTGCCAAGAAGGACGTAAGTGAGTATATTTCTTTTAAATTTAACAACACCAATAACAGATACATATTTACCCAACGGTGTTTGGTTATAATTAAGCAATGTAGCTGCCTTAAGATTCTAGGATTTTACATTTGGGAGCTGGTCTAGTCTAATCATTTCTAGATGATTCGTCTGATTCCCAGACATAAATGAAAGAGTGAAGGAGTTGAATTGAGAAGCATTCTGGGTGTGGCGGGAACAAACTCATGCACATTCTTCTCAAGAGAAAAATCACACATTTCCTAATCCTTGAGGTTTCTTTTAGTTCCATGCTATTTCCTCCAGTCTGAAAGTAAGGTGTTTGCACTTTTTTTCCATTCTTTCTTTTTTTCCCAGAAGAGGTGTGGTGGTGGTGGAAAGGTCCGCCAGAACCAGAGGCTAAGCACATAGCAGTTAAAGGAAAAAAAAAAAAAAATCTTTATTCCAGCTTCCAGAATTCTTCCTCTTCAACCTTTCCTGTTCAATGAAATAATGAAGCCATTAAGCAGTGGTGTACAGAAGTCCCATCCAGTGGCTGAAGCCTGGTAGAAAACAAGGAAGTAGGCTGGTGTAGATTGAGCACTCAGTCCTTAACCACATTCACTAAAGGGGAAGAGGGGACAAACTTTAAATTTAACTTGTCCTGTAGCAGATGTAATGAGATTGTGACAATCTTCCAACGAGTATTTGTGATCTTAATTTAATCACATGTTAAAGTTTGCAGGTGTCAAATTGACTATCTCCTAAAGCCACTCAACATTTATTTCCTGTAGCCTTTGGAAAGGACAGAGATGAAACATAGAGCCAAACTTCACTGATGGTGCTAGGCATTTGTGAAAGCTCAGGGCGATAGAAACATTTTATATTTTTATTACAAAGTAAATGCAATATATTTAGATGAGCAAGTTTAGATAAATTCTTAGTGATATGTGCTTAAAGGAAATTTACCTCTGGATTTAATAAAATTCTCACCACAAAGAGGTATAGAAATTAATTCAAGGGATGTAATGAAAAACCTGGAAAACATTTCCTCCACATTTCCCCTCCCGTCATTTCTCTTCTCCCCTTCCTCAATAACCCTTCCCTGCGTTCACTGTAGAAAGAAAAGAGCAGGTGAACACACACTTGCTCTTTTAAACTGAGTCAGAGGGAGGGTTTTAGGGATATCTTACGACTGCAACACTAACCAGCTCTTTGCCATCCCCTCATATCATCCCCTAACTTTTCAGTATCTTGCAAATTGGACAGTGTTTTTAATTTGGTAACAATCAAAATAAAAATATACAAGAAGTGTACTTTTCTTTTTTAATTCATTTATATTTTTTCTTGCTGCTTTGCCTAAAGACCAAAAAGAGCTTTTGCTTCTCTCTGGCCCCACAGGGACTATGAAGTTGATTTGGGGTGTGCACTTATCCCATAGTGCACCATAAATCTCCACTAGATGTCAGTGTGTCACTAAATGAAACTGGTTCAGCATGCTTTCCAGGTCTGTTCTTGAAACACATTGGAAAGGTGAACTCATTTATAATTTTTAATCAGAATGATACAGAGAACTTTTAGTATATAGGTTAGTAATAAGTTATATTTGTCCTAATCAATACAGAAAATGAATTATTTAAAAAATCCAATAGCTTTTATCTGAGGGGTTTCTTCCCTTGTATTCTGGTTTTGCCATCTCATATCCTCAAAAGAGATAGAATGCAAATATTTGTTTCACATTTTCCAGTAGAGTAAGCTGAACAGCACGAGGACAGAATGATTGGCCCAAGATCACATAGTGGACATCTCACGGACCCAGGCTGGTGTTTCTGTGATCACACAATCTGCTTTACCTAAATTGTGCTTCTTAGGTGTAGAAGTGTATTTAACTGCAGATTTCCTTGTCTGCTGGTTGTATTCACTACATTGCTCTAAAATGAGTTCAAAAAGAGTGGAATAATAATTGTTGTGGTTATTGGTTAGGTTAGGATGGGGATATCAGAGATGTAATTTTAAGATTGTAGCAAGATTGTACAAAGACAATATGCTAAACAACTAAGACAACAGCTGTGTTTTACATATCCTGTGTTAGGATGAACTCAGATTAATATGAGCCTCATCTTAGTTAAGGTACTCAAGTGGAGAAGGAAAGAAAGGCAGTTGTAATTTGGTCATCAAGTTTTAAGCTCTTGGGTATTTGGGGATTATCAGGCATAGTGTAGGTTTTACACTGTATAATTTCCTTAAAGAGGAGTCTACTTATAATCCTGTATATTAGTTTTTAAATAGTGATTGTCCCCAAATTGTGTAAATACGCAGGTTATAGCTATGTAAAAATTATGTTTGTGGATAAAGATTTAAAGAATCCACAGAGAAGATGTTAGGGTCGTGGATTTGTGGGTAAATTTAATATTTCCCTTTATGTGGTAATATTGTTTTTATAATAAATAAAAATAGAGAAAAAACGATTTCTCCTTTATTGTTCATCTTGTAAAGATTTGCCACGATCTCAGTTTCAGAAAGCCTTGTTTCATATCGATGAGGTACATTGTAAACAATCGAAATTCAAGAAGATTTGGTTTGGTTTGTTTACTTCAAATGTGTCCGTTAAATTAGAAATCAAGCTTAAGCTGGCAGAAGTACAGGGTCATATTTTCAAACTTAACTATGAATTTTAATTGAAAATAAATGATTGTCCAAATCCCAGCAGGCTGTTTGCTGTAGTATTTAGTGCACTGTCAATGTTAACTAAATATCGATGAAAAAGTGTTTAATAAATGTAGCTCTCCTCAGTCTGTGTTTTCATTTTAAAAGGTGCAAGATTAAAAGAGTTACAATAAAGTTAGATTTTCAAAATTAAAAATCATAATAGCTGTTGATCTTACATGCTTGAACCTGTGTTTTTTGTTTTTTGTGTTTTTTTGTTTGTTTTAAAGATTTTATTTATTTGACAGAGAGAGACACAGCAAGAGAGGGAACACAAGCAGGGGGAGTGGGAGAGGGAGAAGCAGGCCTCCTGCGGAGCAGGGAGCCCAATGCTGGGCTCGATCCCAGGACCCTGGGATCATGACCTGAGCCGAGGGCAGACGCTCAACGACTGAGCCACCCAGGCGCCCCCGGACCTATGTTTTGATTCAGAACTTGTATATATCAAATCATGCATGGATTTCAGATTGAGATATAAAGTAACTTGACATATGTGAAAGAAAACTTGTACTTTTATGATATGTCTCATTTCAAGTAATAACAGTAGCCACCACTGAATTATTTATAAAAACTTCATGGACAGTAATAAAACACAAATGATCAGTAATTATCAGTTGGAGAAGTTGGGCATGTATATCAGAATCACCTAGAAAATTTAAACTATATGTATTTCCCTGCCACCAGCCCCATCCTATAACCGTGACATTTGGAAACCTGGATTTCCAGATTTGGCAATGGGGTAGGTGGATGGAGGAAGCAAGAATGTGCAATTCCAGGACTTCTCAGGGCGCTGCAAAGTACTGATGCATGTAGTATACGCATTGACTGGGGCAAAATCTCCCCACCCCAGGTGTACTCTCAGTTTAAGTTAATTCTTGGGCCCTGGGAACCGCTAGAATGTTACTAGCCTAAAACACCATGAATATGGGGCTCACGGTGGTTGGTCTGGAGTTAGGAGATGAAATATATCTAGGTGATAGGTTAGTAGAGGTGATTGGATACCCATTTGGGGGTGAATTCTTTGTTTAATATAAGGGAAAGGAATCCAAGGAAGACCAAGACGAGCTCAGCCTACCTCCAGTCTGATCTGTGGCAAATGAAAACTACAACTTCCACAGAACCTTTATTTTCTCTACCAGTCTCTCACTGTGCTAGAATCCCACCATTAGAGATTTATTCTTTGGCTTAACGTATAATTATCTCCAGAAATCTTTTTTTTTTTTTTACTACTGATACGATAGGAATCAGTAGCACATTGAGTTTATCAGTAACTATACACTAAAGCTCATTAGCTCAGAAGAATCACCCCCCATTCCCATCCACACTGGCTAAGTAAGTTGTTGGGGTTAAATGGAGATTTTGACAGGAGAGAATGAAACAAGCCCAGAGCGCTCTATCTACTGCTTAAGAGCCTGCAGGGCTGACTGTAAGCTCCAGGAGAATGGAGGAGATGGATTGTCAACTAAAACACAGATTCTGATTCTGTAGGGCGGGGGCAGGAGATTTTGTATTTCTAACACGCTCCCAGATGATGTCCATGCTGCCGGGGTGGAGGAACTTAAACTTAAACTTAAACCCGTTTGTCTATAGCGAGTCCTGTAACCCGGCTCGCAGCGGTCCATTAGACCAGAAGTTCTCGCACTTGAGCGAGACCAAGAATCACGTGGGGAGGTTGCTGGGCCCTCCCACAGAGACTCTGAGTGAGGACCACGAATTAGCCTCTCTAACTTCCGCTGCGCAGAACAGACTTGGAGTAGCCGTGCTTGAGACAGCGCGCTCACAAGCCGTATCTGCGACTCTGGCGGAGCACCTGATAACCCCACCATGTGCTGACCCTCCGAGTTGTGGGCGCTTCCTGACGTGCTGCCGAGGTGAGCCCAGCATTCTTATTTTTGCCAAAAAATACCAGGTAGGAGATCGCGTTCAAACTCTCACGATGGTTTTTTTGTTTGTAAGCTTAGCCATACACGGTAAGATCACGGTTTTGTATTAATGCCTTGCATACTAAGTTACAGGAGGATAAAAAATAGAATTTCGGTAGGCACAGGACCTCAAAATTATGTATGTCACAGTTGCCTGGCCATGGTGGGTCGAATTGCTTAAAATCCACAACTTTCTTAAGGATATTCAGCGGGAGTGAGGAATGATACTGTTTTAAATATTTCAGGCTTTCCTTGGCAAAGTCTCTTCAAAACTTCGATAGAAATATTTTAAGAATTCAACGTTTTGGGGCGCCTGGGTGGCTCAGATGGTTGGGCGTCTGCCTTCGGCTCAGGTCATGATCCCAGCGTCCTGGGATCGAGTCCTGCATCGGGCTCCCTGCTCCTTGGGAGCCTGCTTCTCCCTCTGCCTCTCTCTCTTTCTCTGTCTCTCATGAATAAATAAATAAAATCTTTAAAAAAAAAAAAAAAATTCCAACGTTTTCAAAGTATTGATAAAAAAAAACATCCGTAGGCAATTGGGAGAAACTGCTGAAAGTTCCTATCTCCTTAGAACAATGCTTATTCTATTCTTAAGTTAAAGGATAAAGATGAGGCTAAATATGAAAGTATTATAACTTAAAATAAGTTACCTGGAAAGGAATTTCAGTCTTAATCATTACTGCAACTGCTTAAAACACAAAACTGTTACTCAAATTTTTATTTTCCAACTAGCCATCCCCTTTCCATTTTAATCAGCTCTTTTCTTCAGTATCTTTGATTGTGCCATCACCATCATTACGAGAAATACGGTTACAGTTCCTTAAACTTTACATAGCAGTATTTGATAATAATTGCATCAGCTTAAGGGTTATTAAAATTTAATTGTTTCAAAGATTAAATATGGTAAATATAATGTTCAAAAATACATTTTAAAATGTGTTAAGGGAAATTTACTCCTTTCATTAGTTCATTGCCATTCTCTTTGAACTACAGTGTGCTGCGATTTGTGAAATCTCTCTCAGTGGGCATGAATTTAAGAACATTAGCTTTCCTCCTTGGCAATTTGTGAGACAGCTGATAAATAATAAAGTGTCCCATGCCACAGCTGGGTATTACGATAGGAAATAGCTAAGAAACCCTGGTTTCATAACAACTATGTATGAAGCTATAATAATAAGATTCATCAAATATTACTTGTTAACAAGAGGCTGGCCTACTGAGCAGTGCTAATCAGAACAAATCCAAATCACATTTCTTTTCCTTCCTTACTTACAGAAACCTATAGGTCATCGACTATAGTGGATGAATTTCTTAAATAACTTTCAGTGCTAATCGTTCAGTTACTTACATACTGTTCTATTCCTATAAAAGATTTTCACATGGGAAACCCTCTCCACCACACCAACCCACTTAGGCCAGTTTTCTTTGTTTTATTCTCTCCTATAACCAGGCTCTTTCCTTAGTAGAAATCACTTCAGTCCGTAATTAGGATATTTTCTCATGTATATCTATTTGGCTGTAGATCTTTGCCACCCGAGCATCTGAAGCACATGAGCACGAGGACCGTGCCTTATGACTCCTCACTGCAGGCCTGGGGCCTAGCATGGTGACAGTAGCTCGAGAAATACTTACCAGTTATTAGCTCTTCCAGATGCCTCTCCACTCCCACATAACAGATATTATTTCCCGAGGTGCTAGGCATCAGGGGCCAGTCAAAATGTGTGTTAATGGTTATTTTGTTCCTTGGTCCCTCCAAGTTCTCTCTAGTTAAAAAAGGAGAGGTGATTGCTTGGGAAGTCTCCCAACAGACTTCCTTCTGTTAAAATGTGGCTACTTCGGCCATCTCTGACTTCCCAGCGCCAGCTCGAGGACCCACCGGCAGTGGCTGTGGCCGCTGCCCCCCAGCTCCCGCCCCTGTGCCCAGGGTGCTGGCCCTTGGCATAAAGGCTGCGTCCTCCACGAAGGTGGGAGCTCTCAAGGCGTGCAGAGCCAGCCGTCTCCTGCATATCCTGGAGCCCTACTTTTCCATTTCCATTCCCGGTGAACTCAGCAGCCCCCGGGCACTGGGGACTGTTGAAAAGCTCGTTTGTCTCATCCTAGATGATAAATAGGCTCCTTGGAAACAGACTTGTCATTTTTCTCCATTCAATGTCTAACCTGGTGACTGTCACATTTTTGTGCCTTTAATAAATCCTTGTGGATGAAACATAATTGAGGGGGTATATTTTCTACTTCAGTGCTAGGAACTTGAGGCTTTGGCTTTGTTCCTTCTGGTAAAATTGAACCCCCCCAACCCCACCCCCGAACCCATCATCAGAGGGGCTAGCTAATGAGGCACACACACTGTTTCTGATGCTTCTGAAGCTGTTTGAGGAGTTCTTACCATTCTCAACCCAACCCAGCCTGAGCGTTTTCCTCTTCCTCTTCCAGGGAGGTGTGTGCTCATCAGCCAGGCTGTGTCCTCCCTACCTATGTCCCAAATCCTCTGCCCGGCCAGCCACGTGTCTTTCACTCCCTAGCATTGTTTCCTGTGGGAAAGGGGGTGGGGATTTTTGACTACAGAGGCGCTCATTCATATCTTAAAATGTGACATTAAGGAAATAGAAGCACACGTTTTGCATCAAATTTATTTCTACATTTAGTGTTGTTGCTCTTTGGTAAGGGGTTGTAGATATGAAGTAAGTGTCCTAAGAGTTTTATGAGTTTAAAATAAAAAGATGTTAACCAGGTCTCACATTCATACTATCCTGGGCCATTTGCTCAGATTTAATTTCTTTTTTGTTCTTAGAACAACTTTGTTTTAGACCTTAGAAACATTGTTGGCTCTTCTACACCCTCATTTTCATCAAGACAGCACCTTCCCTTTCTCTGTTCCTCTGGTATGTTTTTCACAGTATAATTCACTTATCTGAACGAATTACATCCTTAGTTTTATGCTCAGGAGAAAGAATGAGTTGAGAGTTACCTCAAAGCTTTTAACAGTATTTTGTCTCATTTTTCTACTTTGAGAAATAGACAAATGTAATTAGTTAAGAGAAATTTCAGTATTACATAGTAAGACTGGCCACATAGTGTGGCAGTGAACAACATGTTCTCTACCTCATGCTAGCTGTTTAACCTTGTGTAAATTACTTAACCTCTCTGTGGTTTAGGTATTTCATCTG